TTTAATGAATCAAAGAGGCTTAAAAACATACCATCAATATTTGATTTTTATTTCTGCATCATAATATGATCCCCTTCATTCTGTTAATTTCAACTATCACATGCAATACGTAAATTCCATTTTGAGTTATCGGAGCTTCAACAGTCAATGTACAGTGGTTTATAATCTTAATTTCACGTTTTGAGTTCAATGATGTGCTCGGATACAAATTTTGTACGGGAAAAGTTATAGTTTAATATCTTCAATTTTCTTCCAGATCAGCTTTAAATTACAACAGAAACTTTAAAACCTTATATTTTTTTTTTCATTTCAAAGCCAAATTGCGTGTTCTTTGTGCCGTTGGAAAGATTATTGAAAGGGATTTCTGAAAACACATACATACCTTAAAAAGTTTTGATTATATGTTTCATTTTCAGCTAAAAATGCTGAAAATTTCCAAATGTATATGTTATACATCACGAAATTCACATACATGGACTATAACGCAACATGCCATTCGTTAGAAATGTCCAACGCTTCACCATATTTGATCAGTATATCAATTATTGGAATTCTCAAACCTCACTTTCAAGTATGGTGGACGGAGAAGTCACAATGGTAAGCTCGATTTCAGTTGCTTCTTCATGGCTCTCCTCTTCATTCAAGTGAATCTTTCTCGTCCAATACTTTCGAAACAGTTTATAGAGGCATATTACTATTAGTGGTATGCCTATTAAGCCGGCTGCAAAAGTGATTGTAAGTGAGACATAGATATGGATAAATGGTTGTTGGTTGGGCGAGTCCATGGCTCTGCACATATTAGCCAATAGATTGTAATGGGGAAATTAAAAAATTGTCTCAGTTTTATAAATAACAAAACAGTCATGTACATCTTCTGGCGCAAATTCGAAAGATTAAGCTCTGAATAGATTAAAAGATCTAGGGAAAAAGGATACCTGGGCATGGATGGATATACACATTCTGAAATTGCAGCTGTAAATTAAAGAAAAGTTAGCATCATTCAAAATATAATTATTCTGCTTTTGGGTGTAAGAGGAGGCTTACGAGGTGGGTCTTGAGCTAGAGTGACAGTGTTTGAGAAGCTACAGCTCCCCTCAATCTGTCTGTTTCTTTGGTAATAGCTATTCACAGCAAAATCGCAATGATCCTTCCTAGTGTTCGGCTGAAAACAGGGGCCATTTTCCATAATAGGAGCACAATCCGCTCCTGCTCCACAGGCATAGTCAATGTTCTTCTGGTAAATTGCATCGCTCAATCTATCATTACAAACGCAATAATATGTAGCATCTGCAAAATAAAATTTGAAAATTACAATAAAGAATAAGCTCTAGAAAAGACAATAAAACACGATACCAGAGCTTGCTTGCGTGGAAAAGCACTAAAGCTGGTAACTTGATTATTTCAAGATCCCGAGACAGACTTTTCTAGGTGGTGGAGACTGGAGTTTATAGGAAGCATTTGTAAGGAATGTGGGAGGGATAGCTTGTCAGCATCCCAGGGCTTGGATTTTGTTTTACTACTAGTGTGTGCGAGGAGGTGCATGGGGACACACTTGGAATATTGAATAAGTTCTAGTACGAGTCCTCATTCTATTAGAAATATACCAAGTAAATCCTTAATCTATTAATCTGGTGAGCACAATCCCATTTACTTGTTTGTATTTGAGTCCCTAATGGACAATTTTACATTTATCTTTGATTAATGCCTTGTTTAGTGTATATTAAATTTTCATTATTTTAAACTTCCATTATTTTTAAGTTAACATTAGGATAATATATTATTATTAATAGAATGTTGAAAAGTATAAAGTAAAATCATCAACCGAGTACCACAATTAATAAAAATACCACAACTAAGAAAATATTCATGTTAGTTAAATAATCATGTTTGTTGCATTTTAAAATTTTTTGTGTACTTTTATTTTAATTTATTCTTCGATTATTATTGATTACAGGATTAAAGTTTATTACAAATAATAATAATAATAATAATNGTGTACTTTTATTTTAATTTATTCTTCGATTATTATTGATTACAGGATTAAAGTTTATTACAAATAATAATAATAATAATAATTTAAAATGACAATTGACAAATACTCTTGATATCATTTGGTGCTAAATGGAAAAAGGGCAAGGACTTTTACCAAATTTTTTTGCAAGACGCTAGGGAAAAATGGTGTTTTGTTGTGGTTGGAGATGAAGATATTAGTGCAATGCGGATTAGCAATAAAACTAAAATGAATATATAGAAACTAATTTCATACTTTGGAGTGGGAAACAGGAGCAATCCTAGACCAGTTTACATTAAACCATACAATGGACTAAAAGAACACGCGTTACAAAAGACGAGAGATTGCTTGCCTGAATGTATACCGATGCCGGAGAAAATCACTAAAGCTGCTATGAAAACAGACATGATTATCTCAATACCCAGATGAAGAATTGATTTATTGAAGAGAGAGAGAGAGAGAGAGAGAGAGAGAGAGAGAGAGAGAGAGAGTCTGTAGATATGTAAACCATCTCTCTATATATACACCCATTTGTGTAGAGAGAGAGAGAGAATTTTGGAGACAAAAAGCAATTTCTGTAGTTACGAGAGCTTTTGCATGTTTCTTTTACTTTAAAATGTTCAAATCATTCTTTTAGTTTTTTCTTTATTGTGTAATAGTGACACCACTTGTCACCTCGGCGAGTGGCCCACATACTTCAAAGGTGTGTTGTGGGCCATCCGTCGAGGTGGCCCGTCATGACGGTGCGTATTGCTCTACTGAAGATTCTCTCAAGTTTAGAGGGCTGGTGTGTGTCGATTATAGTTACTAACATTGAAAGCTGGAATTTTTGAAGACAATGCAACTTGTACCATTGTTGGGTTGAGGAGACAATGCAGCTTGTAGCATGGACTCGAGATCCTTTGACCCAGTATCAGTATGTTACAAATTGCTTCATATTTTTATTTTTCATACATGAAGTTAAGAACTTCCATGGAATACATGAAGTTATGTTACAAACTGATAATTCATTTTGATGGGTACAAAACAAATGGGTTATGTTAAAATACGTGGATAGTTAGTCTGAGCAAATAATCTAATACCAAGGTTGATAGTCGAAAAGTAAAGCGACCACTTTTGGTGCCGTTAAAAAGTCTCGAATGAAACTAATTATTCACACAGAGAGACAAAGTTACCTTTTTCATGCTTATCAATAGGACCAGTAGAATTACGAGTCCATTTGCAGTCGAGATGTTACACTTTAATTTAATTTTTGAAATACTGTAAAAGAAAAAATTATGCATGCAACAATATAAATTAGTCCATATATCGTTTACTTTATACATTTCTATTGTCTACGTATTAAATATATTTTTTCACTAAATTAATACATAATTAAAGACTCAAATCCATAATCAAAATTATGAAATACCTAGTGCGATTTCAACGCAACAGTGTTTTATACACTCTTGATTAGCATGATCCGTACATGATTAAATTCCTAATAAGGCCCTTCGCACTAATCCCTTATTCTATCTCTATCCACAACCAAGGGCATACGAATCATAGCAATTGACGTTTTCGTAAAATGATTTAAGAAGGACATTTATAGTTAAAAAAAAAAAAAAAAAAAAGCACTGCGATTTATACTGGATTTTAGTTAGTAGAAAACGGACAAAGTCAACTAATCATAGCAACTTACCTGAAATCTTAGTGGAAAACTAAAACTTTATTTTTTATTTTTACTTTCATTTACTCTGCTTTTTTTGGTGCAAGGAGCACCAAAGGTTTGAAAAAGAGGTAACTTTGGGATCTTGACAGTTCATAATAAAGGCAGAAATGCGGTTTGACTAAAATTCTGTTTTTCTCGCCCTTTCCATGTGAACATGATGTACCCTTTCTTCAATCATGTTGTCCCACTCTCATTTTCGAAGGATTTAAAGGAAGTAAATGATACTAGACTCTCATTTTCGAAGGATTTAAAGGAAGTAAATGATACCACTAGCTCCCTTTCCATTTGTGTAAAAATGATTGAAGAAAGGGTACATCATGTTCAAATCAAAAAATTATGTAGTACAACCCAAAAAGTTCCATCCTATGAACAGGGTGATGTGATTATAAAGAAGATCAAATGTTTAGAGAGGTATCCAATTGAATTGAGGTTATTTGAGGCTTCAAATTTCGTGACTATAGACAATGTAATATTTTTACATCTTAAAAAAAATCCATCATATGTTATTTCTTTCTTAATTATATCTAATCTTACAACTGAATACATTGTATTAAAGCTAATATTTACTAGAAATAATAAAAAATTATGTTAACCGCTAAATCAAATGTTCTACTAAAATTAAAACTGTGATGATCAAGAAGAACGTATTCTCACATTTCATGCTAGTGGGCTCGACTCGTGAAAAACAATGTGAACTCGATTTGGTCTATTGCTCGTCTCAAAACAAGCCCAAACTGCCATAAACTGAACCAGATTGAGCGAGCTTGGCCCATTTGTTACCTAGGGATAATGATAATCTTGCTATCATGATTTTGTTCTTATTTCTTGATAATTATGTTTGGTGGACATATAAGTTGGTCCACCCAGTTCAAAACCCGAAAGGTCCTACACATGTTGGGCATAAATAATAATAAAAGAAAAAACAGAAGAATTTATTCGATCTCAAATAGGAGTTATGGACAAGTTTCTTAATCGTAATATTAATAATAGAATTATTCTTGGGGTACATAACATCAAACATAAGGGTGTCCATATGGACACCCTTATGCGCCCTCCATGTACCCCAAGAATAACTCTTAATAATAAAAGAGAAAGTCTGATCAAAGATTTGATATATATAGGGGCCCCATATTTGAAATTAGCATAAGGCTTTCAAAATATCAAGGCCGACCTTGATTGAGTATCCAATAACCAATTAGCTACCATGTGTGATCATCATTTTAAAGCTTTCAACCAACTACGGCCTTCTACAGGGAAAGTTTACGCTAGGTGATATGGTGATTTTCTCAAGATGTTGCTCCATTCAACTTTCATGTTCTCCTTAAACAAAACCCATAAAAAAAAAATAATAATAATAAATAAAGCATTTTAATCTTTACAAACACTACTTTTTTTTTTCTCTCTCTCTCTCTTCTCTTTGTAGCTATTTAATAAAGACCTCAATCATGTTATTTCAAGAGGATATTGTAAGGATTTTTTAATTAAAGATGGGCTTGTATGTGTGAATAATTATGTGTTAAATTATAGGCTATCGAATTCGGTTGAGCCCGTTTAAAGTGATCTAATAAGGTTTCGATTTTGAATTTTAATGTATCCAATTAAAATATGGGTTTACATATGTGTAGAGACCGGGCCCAAATCCTAATTCTATGATGGGCCGAATTAGGTCAAAGGGCATTCTCATATAAATAGGTTATGGTCCCCAGATCACACGCAACGAAACGAATTATTCATTCTCTACTGCATCCCATCACAGAGGGGAAAAGGGGACTGCGTGTAGA